CCGGTTCTAGTTGTCATAAGGTCAAGGTACAACTCCGGGTCGTCCTTTTACCAAGGGACACAGCTATTCGAATAGATCAACTTCCTTGCAGGGGTGCACCAAATAACCAAACACGCTCGATCCCTTTGGCCGGACACACTTTCCTGGGTCATGCCCGGCCTCGGAAGATCAACACGTCACAGCCCCACCTAGGCACAATAGAGAGGTCAGCACGCCGGTCTAAATCCTATGCCCACAGGGGTCTGGGCCCATCACCCATTGCACACCTGCACGTTGCAAACGCGGCCGGTGAGCAGACCTAGCAACCTCCGTTACAAAGGAAGTTGCGTTACACGGTCCAACCCGGCGTGCGTCGCTCGGTCGCTGACGCCAAGAAGGCTTCGACTGATACCACGACGTCGAGTGCCCATAACTGTTCCCGCGTAGTTGGTTAGTGTGTATAGGCCAGTGGCCAGACTCAGATCAAATACCAAGATCTCATTAAGCATGTTATTATGAAGTAACCGCGAACGCTGACAAGGGCCAGACCCACCTCTCGCCTAGGTGGTCTCAACCTGCCCTGTCGCTCCGCCACAAAGTAACAGTCGAGGGCCGTTGGGAACCCAGGCCCACCTCTACCAGGATGGAGCCACCTGTCCTTTCAGCCCCCATATCCGAATCACTTGCGAGTACTCAACGAGCCGACCCGACTTTAGTCACCATCTATATAGTATGTATATATGTATAGTATATACCGGTGATCACCTCCCGAGTGATCACGGCCCGATAATATAGCAAGGCAGACTGACAAGAATGTAGGGCCATTGATGATAAACTAGCATCCTATACTAATCATTTAGGATTGCGGGTAAGGTATCAACAACTGTAACAACAATGACAGGCTATGCAACAGAATAGGAGTAAGCGGAACAGTAACATGTTATACTACTCTAATGCAAGAAGTAGAGGGAAGAATAGGCGATATCTGGTGATTAAGGGGGGCTTTCCTTGTTGCTCTGGCAAGAAGGAGGGGTCGTCAACTCCGTAGTCAAACTCGGCAGTAGCAGCGTCGGTCTCGTAGTCTACCAGAGAGAAGAGGGGGAAGAAACAATAAATATAATGCAAACATAAGCATGATGATGCATGACATGACAACGAGCAAAGCTAGGTGCGCCCTGACGCGGTAGTAGGTGGTACCGGCGAAGGGGGGAAACATCCGGGAGAGTATCCCCGTTGTTTCGCGTTTTCGAACAGATGAACCGGAGGTGAAATGTTGCACGTTCGCTATGCTAGGTACGTGTGGCTGACAAACGGACCGTGTATTTGGATTCGTCTCGTTGTTCCGAGCAACTTTCGTGTACAAAGTATTTTCATCCGAGTTACGGATTATTCTGTATTAATTTTCAAAGTTTTATTCAATTTATGGATCTATTTATATTCCCAATTTAATCAGTAAATACTTTTGTCACATAGTGTAGTGCCAGCCACAGTGTATTATAGGTGGCGTCAGGTCAAAGTCAGTAGTCCAGTCAGTAGTTGACTAGGTCAATGTTGACTGGTCAAACTGGCTGGTGGGACCGAGCTGTCATAGAGTTAGTGAAAATTAACAGTTCAATTAATTTAACGGATTAGGTGGGGCCACATGTCATTGACTTCGATATTTTTAAACTGGCTTTTAAATGAAAAGGGGCAACATGTCATTTTCAGTTATTCAACTAAACATTTTTATTAGGTTCTAAGTAAGTGGTTAGGGAATGGTTAAAACAGGCGGGCCCACACGTCAGTGGGTCAACCCATTGTTAGAACGTGTGTGTGTGCGCGTGCGCGTGCCTGCCGGTGAGTTCAAATGCCGCCGGCGCACTCCGGCGACCAAAAGGGGCAACCCCGGGTGCCAAACAGATAAGCGTGAGGTGCTGCGTCGAGACGTGCCCTCGTCTGGAGCTAGGAGCGGCTGGAACAGCGCCGGGGGCGACTGAAGGCGGGGACTACGGCGGAGCTAACGGCAAACGGTGCTGGAGGGCACGAGGAGGAGGGGGAAAAGGCCGTGAAGGGCTGGAGGCTCACAGCGGAAGCGGTAGGATGCGCGATGGAGCCGGAGGAGGTCGGGGTTGAGCGGATCGACGACGAGGTTAGCGGCGGCGGCTGACGGTGTCGGAGGAGAGGGCGCCGGTCAACGAGGGGACTCCGGTGAGGGGAGCAAGGCGAGGGAGGTCGGATCCGTGACGGGGCCTTCGGGATCCGTCCCTCTCCGACGAGGAGGCGGCTTGGCGCGGCACGGAAGCGGAGGACCAGACGGGTGCGGCCATGGCGGAAGCTTCTGCGTGGCGGTGCCGCGAGGACGACGATAGGCGGCGGATCCCCGGGCGCGGCGGAGGCGGTAGGGCTCCGGCGCAGTAGGGGATGGTGATGG